CATGCTTGCCTGACCTAAATCCAACAGAACACCTCTGGGATATCATGTTTTGGTCCATCCGAGGCTGCCAGGTTGCACCTCAGACTGTCCAGAAGTTCAGTGATGCCCTGACCCAGATCTGGGAGGAAATACCCCAGGACACCATCCGTCATCTCATTAGGGGCATGCCCAGACATTGTCAGGGGCCACACAAACTACTGAATGCAATTTTGAGTTGCTGCAATGAAATTTCATCAAAATGGACTAGCCTGCTGCATCATTTTTTCACTATGATTTTCAGGATGTGTTTGAATTCAGTCCTCTGTAGGTTCATAATTTTCATTTCCATCAAACAATGGGTCATCCTTACCTTCCCAACTCATTACCCAGTCCATATCAATATAGATATCCAGATATTTTTCCTCATTGACATCTGATGTGTTTTCAAAGCGTTCCTTTAATTGTTTTGAGCAGCATAGATGTTCAATTCATATCGCCTGATGTCCGGGACATGTAGTTCCGGATGCCAGGGAGGTAGCAGGGCTCATATGTTAGTTGGAAACATTCAGGGGGGCAGTTCTGTCGCCCCATTGCTTTTATACCGCCCACTACACTGCCAGCCTCTGCCTCCCTGCCCGCTAGGTCTCCCGGACTCCGCTTGCCCATCTGCGGGTTGGGGACCAGTTCAGTGGGTGCTAGCAGGTATAGGGGAAAGAGGAAAGCAAGCAAATCTGCTCCCCTCCCCTTCTTGTCCTGACCCTATCTGAAAGTCCCCATTGAAAGATTTCCTGGCCATCGAGGCCGGGAAAGAATGTAATGCAGTGCGATGTGCACTGCATTACTATCCAGTGGAGTATAGGGGAGACATGCAGGGTCTTTTTTAAAAAATTAAAGTTACACCCAAATTTTTTGAGGCTCCCCCACTCTCACATATGTACACATGTACATACGTGAAAGCACACGCTGGGGTGCCTAAGCATGAAAACGTTTATTGCAATACACGTTACATATTGCCGCACACGCCAGAATGAGGGCAATAATTTTAGCACCAGACCTCCTCTGTAACACTAAACTGATGACCTATACGGGGCTATAAAAGCATCACCTATAGAAAATGTAGGGTACTAAAGTTTGTTGCCATTTCACGAGTGCACGCAAATTTAAGGTTTGACATGTTGAATATCTATTTACTCAGTGCAGCCTCATGTTTCATATTTTACAAAAAAATTGAATATATTATATTGCTTTTTGTGCCCTAAAATTTACTTAAGTGTATTTTTTACTGAAATTTAGCATTTCCTAGAACTTTGTGATTATATTGTCTAACAAAAAAATTGGAACTACCGCTATTTTATTTTTTTAGGGTTTCCGATTTTAGAAAATATATCATGTTTGGGGGTTTTGTGTAATCTTCAGGTCCTAAATTATTTTTTAAACGTGTTCAAAAAAAATGCAAACACGGCTCTGGCAGTGAAAGGGATAAAGGATAAGCCAGACACTCCCCTTTCCTGAGGCGCAGCCAATCGGTGCTCCTTACACTGCAAGGTCTCTCCCCTCCCTGCTAGTCCCCAGAGGTGGGGCTGGAGGGAAGGAGGAGATATACAGCGCGATGTTAAAAATATTAAAAGGTTTAAGTCATCATAAAGCCCTTTTTGTTTTTAAAAGCCCCAGACATTCCTAAAAGCACCTCAGATTTAAATATAGTTAATTTCTTTTTTCATCAGGACAAGCAGATTGTCATGAAGGACAAGTATATTGGGGCATCGATTTAGTCCCCGGACAAGTAGTTTTTTAAAAATGTCCACACCCCTGGAACAGTGTATATGTATTTACCTGATCTGAAAATAAGATATTGTTTACAGTGTAGGCACGCTCAGTGCATATACAGTTCCTAGTAAAGTGAGAATAATGGGCAAACAGGGCACATACACCAACCTTACAATGGATATGACCATTGTTCTCGAAGGCTCTTTCTTGGAACTGTAAAGCTGGCTACACATTAGAAAATTTTTTTTGTACAATTTTCTTTAGATTTACCAAAACCATATAATATGGAGGTCAAACCCAAACAAAAGGACACAGCACCTTTAAGTGTAAACTGTGTGATAATATTTAATAAGGTGGTAAATTTAACAACTCATAACTTGGATAATAAAAACAGGCTCATAGGGAAGTGGTGTAAAACGTCTGTCGCCAGATGTAAATGGCTGATTCGGAGAGGAGTGACCCCTGGTCATCCAGTAGGAGGTGCTGCATCAAGTAAGGCATAAATGGTGAAGCCTGGCTGGGTCTCCGATATGTCTTTAGTTAGTCACATTGGGCATCTGACGTTATCGGGATGCGACGCGTTCCTGAGCATGCGCGGGACCAGCGTTGGCCGGCACGCTCGTTCATCAGGCAAGGAGGAGGGAGGGAGTAGCCTTATGTAGGGAGCCTTATGTAGAGCGGCAGGGATTGATGGACAGGGCGAAACAAGAGGAAGATTAGTGACAGAACAGCGGAACGCTGTCCATTTGAGGGAGATAATGAATCCAACAATGGCAAATTGAAATAAATGTATACATACAAATGACATATTAAAGGGACATGAAACTAAAAACATCAGATCATCACAGTGCATAGAAAAATTAACATTATTGGAATGGAACATAATTAGGACAGCACAGTGGCTAAATGGTTAGCACTTCCGCCTGGCAGTAAGGGTCGTTGGTTTGAATCCCAGCCTAGAGTTTGCATGTTCTCCCTGTGCCTGCGTGGGTTTCCACCGGTACTCCGGTTTCCTCCCACACTCCAAAGACATGCTGGTAGGTTAATTGGATCCTGTCTAAATTGGCCCTTGTATACGAATGTGAGTTAGGGACCTTAGATTGTACGCCCCTTGAGGGTTAGGGACTGATGTGAATATACAATATATGTAAAGCGCTGCGTAAATTGACAGCACTATATAAGTACCTGAAATAAATAATAAAATAAATTTATCTACGTATACATGGACTGCTGAACCATGCGCCGGTCGTTCTCTTTGCACAGGTCAAACCTAAACACTTTCAAATTTTATGCAATCAGACAGGCCTTTACGCTACATAGTTGAAAGTCTAAAGGAAATTGAACAAGTAATTGTATAGTGTGTAGCCAGCTTAACTTCATCTGTGTCCTGCTGTGAGATCTGCCTTAAAGGGGAACTTCACTATATCTTTCAAAATTGACTATTTTTAATCCTTATGCTGCTAGAGTAAGTAAATAAATAGTATGCCATGCTTACTTTTTTCAGTTACTTCCTGGTTTCCAGGTAAATGATGTCATACACTCCATTAGTTTTCAGAAGGGGAGGACAGGTTTTCACAGCAATGCACCCCCTCCTGCCTGAAGCTAAGGGCAGATGGATTCAAGGAAGTAAATGTTGCATGAATCATCTGCCCTTACTTAGATGGTCACAGTCAGAAATGCTAGGGGGTGTTCTTCAAAGTGATTTCTAAGCAAATTAAATATTAAGCATTAATGTAATCGAGTTTTTGGTTAGTGGTGTTCAGATGCAGTGTAGTTTCACTTTAAATTGTTACTGTATATGCAGTAAAGCATCCTTGTTATACTCACTGTGGAACCTAAGGGGTTAATCATCTGCATTGTGTAAAAAGGATGTTTGATCCTGTCTTCTCTGATTCTCCCCTTCTAGTGTCCCCAATCCATCTGCTGATAGAACATAGCCTTGGGGGCAAGCTGCAAATCCTCGGTTTAATGTGTATTGCTAGAGAGTTTTTTTTTTCTTGAAAGAGTGCATGTGATCAGCACAGGGCCAATCAGTGCTGTCCAGACAGAGGGTCAAGGGTTATGCAGCCTCATAGGACAGTCAGAGGAGAATGAAAACTCTTCCTACAAGCTTTAACCAGTGCTCTGCTGGACACTGATAGAAGTCACAAGACTGCTATAAATGTTGATGAGAAAAGGTATTTAGCAGTTTATATTTACTAAAATTGCATTTCTATGTTCTGTGTACTGTGGGAGACCAGATGTAGTGAATGCAGGGTGATGGGTTTAGCCTTTCCAGTGGCCACAACAGGTAGTGAGAAGACAAATTCTTCAAAGTAAGTGAAATCTCCTTTTCGTTGTCACTGGAACAAGTGCCTCCCCATACTAGAACATTATGTTATAGACCTCCTGGGGGCCATTTTAAAAATAAATTTATATATAAGAGTTTAATTCCGCTTTGAATGGAACCTGTACAGAGGAAAATTTGTAGGTAAGCCATTACTGACATCTTCTGAGAATGCCAGGTACTTGTCATATTGTTCTAAAGTCTTTAAAGTAGAATTCCAGGCTAAGGCTAACTAATCTTATAACTGCTCACACACCTTCCCCCTTCTAACACCTATACCAACTAGCCTGTGGAAGAAAGATCAGTATACTTACCTATTTTCAGGCAACTCTTGTCTGGACACGCGATCATCTCCCTGCGTCATCTGGCGGAGGCTTCAGGGGAGAGGAGGGAACACCAACAATATATGCCCCATACTAAGCCTATGGGTGATGTCACTGCTCTGGCATCACAGCCATTGACAAGTGCTCTCTTCCCTCCCCTGTGGCTGGCGCTGGCAGAAACATGGGAGGTCACATGACTGGACCAGAACAGCCTGAAAATAGCTAAAGTATACAGATCTTTCATCCACAGGATAGTTAGAAAAGGGGTGGAAGCAGTTTTTAGATTAGTTAGGTTTAGCCCTGAAGTCCACTTTAAAGGCTCATTCATGCTTTTTGCAGTGACCTGCATTTTTCTGTAGTGGATAAATGCAGGTTACCCCTAGGACACATAAAAAACAGTTGTTTACACCACAATCCTGGTGTGATGTGCTATGTGGAAAAATTCAGCATGTTTGCAATTTTCTGTACTGTTCTGCTGTTGCAGTGACATGCATGGAATGTTCAGATCAAGTTGAAAAAATAAAAAAGTGACCATTATTGGGAGAGCAATGTGCTTTACTTTATTAACCTCCCTAGCGGTATTCCCGAGTGTAGCTCGGGGTAAAATGTCAGTGCCAAAAGCGGTAACCCCGAGCTACACTCGGGCTTACCATGCGGCGCTGCATAGGGATTCCCTGCAGAGCTTACCTTGTCCTGCGCTCCCGCGATGTGTCCCCTGCAGCGTCCCCGGCCATCTCCTCCGGCCAATGCCAGCATCCGACTTCTGTGTTCCGGTCCCTGTGACGTCGGGACATACGGGTGCCAGCGGCGGGAAATTTGAAAATTTTAAAAAACGTCATTTTTTTCAAAACACATTTTTCATAGTAAAACATTGCTGTTTCAACCCATTTCACATACATATTGTCCCTAGTGCTTTGTCCTGTGCCCTGCCTGCATTTTGTCTGTTCTTTCTGCCTGGAAACTGAGAAACGTCCATGGCGTCCAAAAAGTGTCCCTTTAGGTCAAAAGTGGGTTTAGATCAGCTATAGAGAACAGCGATAGTAAATCAGAACCACTTGCAGAATTGAGTGATGATTCGTGGGGAAATTCGTCATCAGACACTGAAAACGATTTTGCAACTTTGCTCAGCAATGTACGAATTTGGCGCTCTATTTCAAATTTCAGTGTTTTTGGTTTGATTATATTATTGAATTAAATGTATTATTATTATATTATTATTTTTTAGGATTATTTTATTAAATTATAATTTATGATTTCGTGTTTCAAATTTTATCATACCTGGGATGTTTAATAGACTCTTGTTTGGACAGATTTCAGTGAGTTATTCCTAAAAATTACAGCCTACAATAAAAAAACTACATATTTCCATGCAAAATAATGGTACCTGCCGCTTTCAGCACCAAAAATCTGAAATAATCATACCGCTAGGGAGGTTAATTATAAAATAAAATGAAAAGCAAAAAAAAAAAAAAAACAAGCAATGCAATGCGCTGAAACACGTATAGCGCTGCTCCCTTCTGGAGCCAACAGTGCACTAGTCTGCTTTTTACCATGCATGCAGTGCAGACACTGACCAATACTCTGAGTCACTGAGTTGCAAATCAAGAACTATGACTTCACTCAAAGCCAGAGACAGCCAGGAAAACAGAATCTTCAGGAGCGCAGCAGTGGCAGCCCTTATATTTCACCAAGTACAGGCCTCCTTTATATTAACTGAACATTCTCAAATTTTGCTGGGTACACTTCAAATATTATTACATGGGACTTATTTAATTTAAGCTGCTAAATAAAGTCAGAGTTTTTTTTAAACATGACTGGCCTGCTGGACCAGACAAAACCAGGTGCATGAACTAATGGCAGACATTTGAGTAGCTAGGAGGACAGTGTGAAATGTGGCACCTGTCTGAGGAACCCAGAGCACCTGTCTTGTCAGCTGCCTAAATATTGCACACTCACATAGCAGTGAAAAATGAGATACCTGCTCAGCTGTGCGCACAGTTATACTGCTTTCCAGTAAAGCTGTTCCACTGCTCCTTATAGCTAGGCTTACTAGATCAACCAAACAGATCCGGATATTTATGAATATTATTTGCTGCAGATTACACTAGACCAGCCAGTCTCAACTATGGTTCCTCCAAAGGTTACTCGGGCTGTGGCTGCCTGACTTCCCTCCTGATCTTGCCTCCATAGTTTTGGTTCCAACGCCCCTTGGCGGAGCCAGCAGCATGTCAATTTTCTCTTTCATACACTATAAAGGTGACATTCTGACAATAACTGCATTCTTTGCACTGACCATCAAATGTTAATTTTAGTATGTGTTCCCCACAACCAGAAAATTACTTTAAAAAGGTTGAGAAAGCACTAGGCTGTTCACAAAACGCCAAGTCCCTGAAATGAAAAGCTAGTCTGTGAACAGAAATCTTCTTTTACTTTGGTGAGGGTTGGGGACATAAATCACACATATACCCAAGAAGATAACTGTCAAAATTAATATAGAGTCTTCTACTGAATAGCTTGCTCTGAAAATGCTAGTTACCTAGTTGCAATCTGGCTTTTAATGGGAACCATCACCTATGAAAAATCCACAGACTTACAGGTAACGGTGTTTCTAGTAATCTTCCAGAATGGTACACCTAAGAGGTGATAGGCTCCTCCCTGCCAGGAAACACAATAAATCGTCAGCTGTTAAAAGCTCCCACCCTCCCCCTTGTCCCTCAGTTGTACCAAAGTAGCTCCCTTAACCGGTCCACAAGGGGAATTAGTTTACATAGGTACTCACCACCTACTGCTTTTAGGAGTTTTTTCCCCCCTTAACAGGGCGGCAAGTAAGCCTGCCGTCCAGGAAGATTCCTAGAAACAGTTACCGGTAAGTATAACTGGATTTTCTCCACTCATCTTCCAGGACAGCACACCTGAGAGGATACTCAAAGAACCTACATTAGGGTGGGACTACTGCCTGTAGCACTTTCCAACTGAAGGACAGATCTTGTTGCGATAGCACTTCTACTCAGTAGTGGTTCAAGGTGTCTTAGTTGGACCAAGTGGCTGCACTACTAATCTGTTCCCAGGAGGCCTCTGCTTTCTCGGCCCAAGATGTTGCCAGAGCTCTGGTTGAGTATGCTTTTAGATCTGCCGTTGCAATAATCCCTGAGCTCTCACATGCAAAGGCTATGGTTTGCCTAATCCACCTAGAAACTTGAAGCCTCTACCTCGGCCCAGAATGTAATATCAGGAGATGATTAGATCTTCTGAACCCTCTGCAAATAAGTGAGGAGGCATCTCCTAACATCCAAAACAGTAGAATTTCCCCTCTTCATCATTCTTGGGATTATCACAAAAGGAAGGCAGTGTAATTTCCTGGATCCTATGAAATGAAGAAGCCACTCTTGGCAGGTATAACGGGTCCAGCCTTAAGGTGACTGTCTGAAAAAAAACAACAAAAAGGGTTCCTTAACAGATGAGCTTTGGAGGTCTCCTACTCTCCTAGCCATGGTAATGGCTAACAAAAGGAAAGTTTCAGGGTTAACAACTAAAAGGGCACCTCTTCAATCGGTTTGAATGGGTGCCTTGTTAAAGCCTCTAGCACCCTAGACAAATTCCATGGCTGAAACTGTTCTTTTGTGGCTGGGGTAACTCTTTTCCTGGCCACCAGAAAACATTTAACTAAAGAATCTTTCGCTAGCATCCAAAAAACCAAAAGAGCTGCTGACATGTTGACAGTCACATCCTTCTCAGCCCCTTCCTGGAGAAATTCCAGAATGCCTGCAACAGAGGTTTTCCATACATTTAGTTAAGTCTTCCTCATCACAGGTTTTCTGCTTAGGAGCAGTGTATCTATTACCCTATCAGAGCAGCCCTTTAGTCTGAGGATCTGGCGCTCATGAGCCATGCTGTCAACTGGAAGAATTCCTGCCATGGGTGCTGTACCGGGCTCTGGGTGAGGAGATCCAGCATGACTGAAAGTCTCCAGCGAAGCGTGACCGAGAGCCTCTTTAGGGTCACAAACCATGTTCTCCTTAGCCCCCGCAACGCAATCAGAAGATGACCTGTCAACTGGGTGAGCTTCTGCATGACCCTTGGAATTAAGGCCAGAGGTAGAAAAGCCTATGCCATACCGAATTGCCAAACTTGTGCCAGGACATCCAGGCCTCCCAACTCCCTTTCCCAGTATAGGGAGAAATACCTTCTTACTGGCCTGTTTTTGCCATTAACAAATCTATGCTGCCAAACCACTGTACTATGACCTGAAACACCTCCGGAGTCCGTTCCCATTCTCCTTGTCTGATTGACAGCTGAGGAAACCTGCTTCCCTGTTGTTTTTCCCTTTTATGAGGACTGTGGATATGGAGACTACTTTCCCTTTGGGCCAGTTTAGGCTTTTTTTGGATAGATTTAGAAGTCTGGACCTGGTCCCCCCTTAGTGGTTCAGATATGCCACAGTAGTAGCGTTGCTGGAACTGACCTGAATCTCCTTGACAAAGATTCTGTTCTCAAAAGCTTTCAGTGCCTTGCCTACTGCCTTGAGTTCTCTGAAATTGGAGGAGACCTATGTTACCGCACTGTCCCATGCAGGGGCGGACTGACAACTCATGGGGCCCCCGGGCAATAGGGGATCATGGGGCCCCTGTGTCCTTGCCCAAACTCAAAAAAGCCTATGAAAAAAGGTACCAGGGGCATCTCATGGGGCCCCCTACTAACCCCGGGCCCTCGGGCAGTCCCCGAGTTTCCAAATGGTCAGTCCGCCCCTGGTCCCATGTACCCTGTGCTTTGTATCTCCCTAGGTGGGCTCCCCATCCCCAGGTGCTTGCATCCGGGGTGACTTTCACCGGGTTCACCTTCCCGCAGGTTGCACGGGATCGACCACCATTCCAGGGAGGACTTAATCTTCGGGGTAAGAACCACTCTTGTCAAAAGAGTCTTTCTTCTTGACCCAGCTGGAAAGGAGGAAGAACTGGAGGTCCCTTTTGTGGAGCTGCGCCTAAACCACTGCTGAGATGCACGCCGACATCAGACCAAGCACCCTCATGACCTCTCTCCTTGAGCACGAGGGTGTTTTGATCAGACCTTCAACAGCTAAGACGACTTTCTCCACCTTTTCCAATGGTAGGAAGAGCTTCTGCACTCTTTTGTCCACCAGGTAGTCTAAGTTGTTAACCTATGCAGGTTCCAGAGACTACTTCTCTGCACTCACTATCCAGCCCAGCACCTCCAAGACCAAAATCACCTTCCCGGTGTCCACTTTCACTTGGGCAGCTACGGGACTACAGATCAGCAGAATCAGCTGTATTTCCTGCAGATGAAGGCCATGGCCTCGGCTAGGACCTTTGTAAAGATCCTTGGGCTGGCTGCATCAGATGTTTGGTAAGTCTCTCTACCCAGAAATCTGTGTTTCTGGCAACGCAAGTCAGTGCCAAGGCTGGGTCATAGTGGATGCATTAGTGTCCCAAGCCTTTCTCAGGAGGGTCTCTGCCCTATGGTGCATTACATTTTTAATACTCCCCGCATCCTCAAAGGAGAAGTCTGACCTCTTGGTTACTAGTGACAGAGGAGCGCCCCAACTTAAGAATCTTGAAAAACTTCTCCTTGTCCTTAAAGGGAAACCTTTTTTTCCATGGTTTAGGTCTGACCATTCTCCCTTCCGGTTCCTTCCACTCCTGAAAGATAAGATCTTTTAGGGACTGATGGAAGGGGAGTACCCTAGACTTGGCTTTAACAAGGCCCCTGTACATTTTGTCCTGTGCAGAGGCATCTTTTGAAGGTTCTTGAATCTCCTTTGTGGCGTAAACGGCTAAAGGAGGCCCTTCAGATCTTCCAGGAGAAACAGGTGCCTATCAGTCCTACCAGCATAGGAAGATCGCTACAGGGTATGATGTAGCAAAGGACTCCATGATAAAAAAAGATCCAAATTAGGTAACAGTTTAGTTTATGTTCATCACATAATTGTACATGCGT